TATATATATATTTATTTTTATATATGCACGTGTTATAATAGACCATCAGATTATTAAAATTACAAATATAAAATAAGGTACTTGTTATTGATGCCTACATTTTGTTATTTAATGCTCTTTAAGTCTGTCTATTATAAAGATCGCGTGTAATTTTGTATATAAGTTACAATACAAAATACATTTATCGATATTATTCTGATACAGACCGACGTACTCTATTATAACGTTTAACCTGAAAAATGGAATATATATGACATTGCAACATTTCTCATGAAATATATATAAGTTGAATTATGTAAAATATATATAAGGCATCGAAATAGAGAGTATGTGACAAACTGAATTACAATACTTATGTATTCATACTTTTTTGCATACTCCGAGTGTGCTTCTACGACTACCTGGTGGACATGTCCTTGAGGGAGCGTCGATTATTATGAAAGGTGCAATACTTGTTTCTACACATTCCAATTGGAAGGTAGTTTCATTCACACCTATTACCCCGTCAGGCGCACATGGGCCGCCTATTGTTCGAAGAGGATAGCATGTGCCATTGAATGGAACCTCGCCATCTTTCAAGCAAGGATTCTCCATGCAACGAGGGACCGCATCATCTTCAGGAAGAACAACATAATTCTTGGGTGGACAAGGACCTTGTCTATAGGCTTCATAACAGGAATTGTTCAACGGGAAATATAAGAATCGAGGTCTACAATCGCACACCCAAGCATCCTTCGCACTGTCGCCTGGATAGAGAAGCATGTCTTTTGGGCAACGCCCTGGTATTGATATGGGTATACGGTCATCTATTACCTGCGAAGATGTTTGTGTAAAGAAAAATAGCTTTTTATATAATTATATTATATATTTTATATAATTTTATATTAATATTACCGTGGAGTTGCCACCACTGACGTGAGACGTCTCCTCATCAATTGGAAATGCTAAATCTTGGCTCCATGTCACATGGTTACATACGAAAAATATAAAACCGACATACAAATACATCATCTTGATGATATTGAACAAGATTGTATCGCTGAGAAAATTGTACATATATCTACAAATGTTAAGTAAATGGAGAAAATAGAAAATATTTTTTACTATACAAAAATCAATTAAAGCCAGAATGCAAAGAGAATAAATATTACTAATAACTGATCAAATCACGACAAGACAGTAAAAATCAAAATGTTTCCATCTTCAAACATTTCCTTTTCACTGGCAAACTAAAAGATGGAGATATCAATAAGATAGATATATATCGTACTCTATATATCGTACTCTAAAAAAAAAGCTGTTCTGAATAATTATTAGCGATCTAATTATACACTAACTGCATTCTAATTCAGATTGATACTTTCAATATTAAAATGAATAAATTTCTTACAATTCTTAGCAATACGCTGTTCCTTCCTGACAAAAAAAGAATAAAATAGAAATATCACATAAATATTGATAACAACCAAAGATTGTGAATTTGACAAAGATATTCTAAGATTCTCTCGAACGCATACGCGCAATTACTGAGCGATGTAACGGCAACTGATATTTCAAGGCTAACTGTGACATAAAAGAAAATGAAAGAGTATACTGACCAGAGTGATAATCTTTCTCACTAATACATTTACAAGTTCTTACATACGCATAAGAATAATCTGAGAAAGCTATTTACATATGTATATAGGAATTGAAGAGGAGAGAAGGAATTTCCAAGAAAATATGATTTATAATTATAATCTGAGATTATTAAATTGCTCACGATAAAATAGTAAAGAGGAAAGCTAAAATTTTCTGGAATATTTAAAAATGTTAAAAGATGATTTTTTTTACAATTATATATTTATAAGAAATATGCTACAGGATTATTCATTAAGAAATTCGAATTCGTTATGTGCACCTACAGAATCTTTCATATAATCTATGAAATGGCTCTCTTTGTAGTCTGGCCAGGATTTAAATTCTTTAAAGAGTTCCAGAATTTGTGTTGGCGTCAAGTCTCCAAATTGGGTATATATCGTGTAATCTTTGGCTATAAGTTTAATTCCACAGTCTGGTACCCATTTTCTAGAGGCAAAACAATATATAATTGTAGAGGAAAATGTATTAAAAATTCTCTAAAACAAACAATATTTAACAGAAATCTTACAGTTTTTTCATACTTACTCCAATGCAGGTATCACTCTAGTACAACGTTTCTGCATGTGATGTCTCACAAAATAGGAAAATGTTATCCAATCTTTTGGCGATAGTTGTGCATAAATATCAGCTTTGGGCTCAAGTTTTACCACATACAGCTGCTCGTAATTTTGTTTTGCCGATAAAACAGATGAATTACGTTTATGTTGTTTCTTTTTTGGCCAAGGTATAAAAGCTTTCCTGCTCAATGTTCCCAGGAGTTCATAATTAAACATTAATTTGAATATCACCTTTGTATAGGTATATATATTTAAACTAGTACAAATATTATATTTCTAAAACATATTAAAATCAAATATTAGCGTGATTTTATTAGTATACTCCTTAAAAAAAAGAACTTATATACTAACATTCCACACAGATGGAAGTATTGCGATGTAGAAAACAGGTCTTCCATAAAACATAAAACCATTGCGAAAAATTAAATTATGTATAATAAAGGTAAATAAATAAATATTATCACATGCACCTATTATTTGCATGTAAGTTTCATCTTCCCAATTTTTGCTCTCTATCGCTTTAAAATTATCTTGATATTTCTTAGTAGTTTTTTCATCGTGAATCGTTCTTATTATTCCAAAGAGATTAGAACATTTAGAAGAGATCAGTTTGAGTTTTCCAGGATATTTTGTACAGATTATTTCCAGTATCTTATGCAATCTTAAATTACCTTCATACAAGTGAATTAATGGTACTCCAGCTTTCAATAATTCTCTTGTCAATACGCCCAAACCAGGATTCAATTCAGCAACGTAACACATATTCTTCAAAAGGTCATTTTTTATTAAAGAAACAAATTTTGCAGCAGTATCTTTATCAATCAGATGTAATATATTTGTATTCGCTTTTTTAAATAACATTTTTTTATCTCCCAATAATTGAATGATATCACTTACGTCTGGATTAACTTTTTGTATATAATTAATAATGTCCAAAATCTCTTTATCATGTAGTATAGATTTTTCGATATATTCCATTACTTTGTTTTTCTTTTTCATTTTCGATAATTCTGTTTCAATCAGTTCCTTCGTCTTTTGAATATTTTCTTTCTGTTGTTTAGATAAATTACCATTGGTCAATGTTGAACAATATACATTTATGATATGTCTAGTCCTTTTTGATAACCAAGAAGTTATATTGCAGATAAAAAACTTTTGTGTGTGTAACATTTTTATATTTGATCTAGATAAAATAAAAACAGAGTAATCTTAAAGAACAGTGTTCAAATACAATACTTTAAATTTATAAATTTTTCTCCGTTTAAGTAAAACTTTTCATATAATCTTACCAAAGTTTTTAGCAAATTGATAGATTTCTTCCAACAGTTTGTTTCCTTTAATCAATTGTCATACACAACATGCCTCTACACGTGTATCATCACGCACCTATCATAAGCTGTCACAAGTAAACCTAACTTGACTATATCTAACCTAGTCTTACTTTTTATGCATTATATATGGTACGCGATATTTTCTCTTTGTACCTAAAGCAATCGTAGATTGCATAAATGACTATAAATGTATATACTATGCGCAATTGGCATAAAATAAATAAATATGCTATAAATTTTAAGCAGTACTTACATATTATATTTCTTGTACATTTATTCTACATTATCTACGCGCGCGCGCGTGTGTGTGTGTGTGATGTGTGTACATACACATAATATATATATATGGCTTTTACAAATATGAAACATACATCTTACATATTATTTTTAGATTTCTCAGAAACGAAGATAACTTATCGGTAATATTAATATCATTGTCATTATCATCTCTACAAGGATTCCAAAAATGGCTCAAAGTGCTGCTTTGCTGACACGCATAGTGGCATCTTCTGTATCAGCCACGATACAAGCCGGTAAAATAATCCGAGATGTTTTAAGCAAAGGTGGATTAAATATTGTGGAAAAAGGCAAGAATGATCTGCAAACGGAGGCAGATCGTTGTGCTCAACGATGTATTATAACTTCGCTCAGTCGTCAGTTTCCAAATATTACGATTATCGGTGAGGAAGAACCATCTAACTGTGAGATACCACCAGAATGGATCATCACAGAAGCAGATCAAGAAGTGTTGCAATTAAAATTACCGGCTCACTTAGAGGATGTTAATCCTAAAGATGTGTGCATCTGGGTAGATCCTCTAGATGGTATTGATATCTTAATTTGACAATAAAAAAATTCTGCATGATAAATAAGACATGTTTGCACTTTTAATTTGTTTTAAATATATATCGTTGTATACTATAAATATTTCGAAACATCAATTTATAATTGTTATAAAAGAATTTGCATTATAGGTACAGCGGAGTACACTCAGGGATTAGTGGAACATGTTACAGTATTAGTTGGTGTGGCAATCGGTGAAACAGCAATTGGAGGTGTCATACATCAACCTTATTATAAGAAAGAAAATGACATGTATATTGAAAACGGTCGTACATTATGGGGTATTAATGGCGCAGGATTCGGAGGATTTACACTGAAATTGCCTCCAGAGGGGAAGAGAATAATCACAACTACTCGGTACTTAGCGAACAATTTTAATATTTATATTTTAATATTGTACTATATTGAATATATCATATTGTCTGTTTTCAGTTCGCATTCTGATAGTATTGTCCAAAGCGCCATAAAATCGTTGGATCCTGATGAAGTGATATGCGTCGGCGGTGCTGGACATAAGGTAATAACAAGAACGATTGTTCGTGATTTTCGCTGATACACGCTCTTCGAAATTATTATTCAAAAACATATTCTTAATTAAATAATTCAAATAAGATAAAATTGAGCTCTCGAGATAATTAATAATTATAATTATAAATTATTGTCAGGTGATTGAGAGCAGAATTGTGACAGAATTATTCGAGCGTTATATATAAAAATTGTATTTCATAGATCTTACATGTATTAATACAAAATCGAACGTTTATATTTTTATGTATAACGCTCGAATAACTGTGTCACAATTCTGCTCTCAATCGCCTAACAGTAATTTATAATTATACTTATTAATATTCTTAATCTTCAAATTGAGATATTGTGTGTCTGTTCGCAGGTAGTTCTTCTGTTGGAAGGAAAAGCTCACGCGTACGTATTTGCCAGTCGTGGATGCAAAAGATGGGACACCTGTGCGCCCGAAGCTGTACTTCATGCAATCGGTGGTGTTTTAACTGATCTGCATGGTAATCGCTACCCTTATAATCAAGAAACGATGCATGTAAATATGAGAGGCATATTGGCCACTGCTCCTGGTCAGTCACATCAGTGGTATTTAAGTCGAATACCTGATGAAGTAAAACAAAAATTACAATAGATGATCTTTGTTCATTTTTAAATTGGTGTCATCCAACTGAATAACTTATTTAAATACAGAAACCTTGGATAGCATTGTTTAATCATGCTGTATCTTTTAAAAATGTTATTAATTATCTTACGGGTGCAATATTAACATTCCATAGAAAAGTTTCTAATTTTATATATATTTTTTGATATATA